TGAGTGACGAACGATTGCGGAGGTAATTGGTGGTGGGTAGATTAGAGGAAGTGTGAAGAGTATCATGAGGTGCTGTGATGGTCTCGTTGCGTTCTGCAAGAGTCATTCTAGCAAGTGGCGATTATGGTACAATATGTCAAGAGGGTGTCTTTAGTTCGAATGTGTAGGTCGTCATCGGTGTGTGAGATTGTGTTGTGGGTATGCCTGTGGTGTGTTGGCTTTACTGTTTGCTTTCCACTCCAGCTCTCCCAGTGTGACCCAGGTTCTCGTAGTAGCATCCAAGTCAACGTGCATTCGTCGTGATGGGAGAAAGGGATGGATCCGTTTCTGTCGGGGAGTGTTAATGTAGTTGAAGATTGAACCATCAATTCATGGTTGTTTGCTCAAACCCAACTTCCCTATATTTTCGCGGAGGCATCAATACACCAGTCATCGTCTCATCGGTCGCTGTTCAGAAAACACGCACAATACCGTCAGAAATAATATCGTGATTTATTATTCTAATATTTGTTCATAGACCTTAGTTATTATGCTGCTCATATGTTGGTGTTGGAATAAAGATTTCTCGAGTCACCAATCGGTGTCCTGGTTTTTGCATCCGTTAGTACTAAGCGTTTCTTAAAGGCTTCGAGAGACAGGGAGAGGCCCGGTGTGGCAAGAGCTGGGCATTAACGGTTTCTGTGACTTTATTGCCAACATATTTATAAGTATTTGTCACAAAGGATTAGGAGATTTCTTTTTTAGAAATGTAATGTATGGAACTAGCTGGTATTACGGAAACTAAGTTATAGTCTATTTCGCATATTAAAATGTTTAGCAGAACAATTAGTTATGAAATTATGTAGAATGATCTTTAAAAAACAGCTATATATCACCACTAGTTGTCCTAAATTTTCATGGCTGGTTTTCACATGGTATACGCCAGACACTGCAAAGTAACCCTTCCAATATCCAAAATGGTTTTTACAAGCTGGTATAAACCAATTTGATTTCTTTTTGCTCGCTTCTCGATTTTAGGGTATAGCTTCCAGATCTTCGGTAAACTTCTGCGTAGCTCGTCCCGCCACTCGACTTTCCTAGCTTTGGTTGACTCCAAAGGGAGTAGTGCTGGGATTAATTATATGTGGTTTGTAGTAATAATAATAATAATAATAGTATATTCTCATTTTGTACATGAGAGACGCCAGTTTACAGGCATCATCAATATGATAAATTACATATACGATTAGCAATCATAATTAATAATAATGTTTTAATAAAATACACATTTTTTCCTACTTGTGTAGGACACACCAAATATACAGGCATGGATAAGCATTATATAAATTTCATAAATTTGGTTTATGGTTAAGTTACATGGTTGCTGGCGTTTTTGTCTTAGGTCTGTGGGAACAATATGATAACCAGTCATTCAATGGAGCACGTCATGAAATATAGGAATATTAACTTCGCATTAACAAAAAAACCCAAGTAAGTTTTGGATGGATTAAAAATACTTGGGAAAAAATAAAGCTTGAAGTAATTCCTCAATATAACTTGGGTGTGTACAAATCCGAATCTTATTTTTGATTTGATTTATATCCAAATTGGGTAATAAGGAAGCTATTTTTACAGATACGATCAGTTATGTTATAAGCTACAATCGTGACGTTGTATTACAAATAGATACTTTTCCATTGGTATAAGAGTATATTCCACAAATGTAATCCAGGTTGCGTCGTGGAGAAAGTTAATTCGTTATTAACCAGGCAACTGAAAGATACGGGACCAATAATGTTTGCAGATCATTTGTCATTGTAAATGGTCAAATATCCACATTATTCATTCTCATTCAAAAAGTCAAATGGAAGCTGAAATGGTGAGAGAAAAAAGAAGACAAACAACAGCAACGCAAAAGAAAGCAACGGGAGTCCTTAAGGAGTGATTAATAAATATATACATATATATTCTGTTTAGTAACTGTGGTTATTTTGGTACACAAACTAACTAGTCCCGTTATGCTAACTTTTATATTATGTGTAAACTAATATTACTGTCCTGTGTAGAAATGTTTATCATCTAGTTCCAATAATATTAAAATTTATAATTGTAGTTTGTTGTAACTACACGTTTAAAGAACTTAAAATATCTATGTAGGGTGAAAAAGAAGGTGTAAGAGTCAGGCGCAAAAGTGCATTGTCATCTTTGAGTAGTCTGGTGACTGAGGAGATGAACACTGGAAGTGTGTTTGCATCGCGCACATTAGCTGGTAGTCTATTCCAAATGACTGAAAACTTATTTAAGAAGAAGTTGTACCGCACGTAAGTCTGACAGTGCTCCATAGCAGCTAGGTTGTGATGATTTCTAAGATTGTAACTGATGACAGCGGTAGGTTTAGTTATTGGCTCGGAGGAATGCAAGAGAAGATTAGTTAGCTTATAGTAAAAGATAAGGTTTAGCTTAAGGCGTCTTTTCCAGAGGGGTTCTAATCTTAGTCTTACGCATCGCTCATGGTATTCCAGACCACTTTCTAAACCAAGAGTTCTTGAGGTAAACTGCCGTTGCACTCCCTCTAATTTAAGCTTGTCATTTTGTCTTAGTCCGCTAAGAATAAACGGGCAGTATTCTAAGATAGGTCGGACACATACTTTGTATAATAAAACCCTAGTTTCACAACAAAAGAAATTGCGTGTTATGCATCCTATCAGCCTTCGCGTTTTACGTCTGGCATAATCAGTCTGTTCAGCGAACGTTAGGTTACTAGAGTATCTAATACCGAGATCTACGACTGAGTTGAGCTTAGCTAGTTTTCGCCCATTTATTTCAAGAGTTAGATCAAGGTTACTGTTGCCAATACAAATCCAGCCGCATTTGTCAATGTTAAAATTTAGACAGGATTCAGCACACCATGATTCGAGACTACTTAGTTCAAGATGTATTTTAGTAACCATATCGCTTAATTCATGAGTGTAGCAGGAGTAGACGACTTTGAGGTCGTCAGCATATAGGAATGGTTTGCCTAAGGTGAAGCACTTGCAAATGCTGTTAATGTAGACTGTGAATAAAAGTGGACCTAGGACACTACCTTGCACGACCCCACTTGAGATCTGCCTAGGATGAGACAATACAGATCCAACTTTGGTTATTTGTACCCTGTTGCTTAGAAATGATTTTAACCAGTTCAGTAATGGGTTGCGAATTCCACAAGAGTACAGCTTCTCAAAGAGAATACTGTGAGATACCATGTCAAATGCCCTAGATATATCGAAGTAGAGAACAACGACTAGCTTACGTGCTTCGCGACTACTAGTGATGCAGTTGAAAAAGTCGAAGTGGCAAGTAACGCAGGATCTATTTTTGAGAAATCCGTGTTGAGACCTTGTAACAAGATCTTCCCTAATTAGGTAGTCTGACAATTGATCTTTTACAACTTTCTCCATGATTCGTGAGATAACTGGGGTTATATTTATGGGTCTGTAATTGCGGACGTTTGCCCTATCACCAGATTTGTAATGTGGAATTATGAAGCTAGTTTTCCACTCACTAGGGTAAGTGCCAGTGTCCATAGATATTGAGAAGAATTTAAGAAGTAACAAGGGTATATCACACCCACTGTTTTTGAAAATTATCGAAGCGAGGCCATCCGGTCCCGTACTAGTGGAAGGTTTAAGGCTTTTAATTGCTTGTACTATTAACTGATTAGTGAACACAATGCTTTCAAGGGAAGAGATAGTAAGGGGGGCGGTTTCACCAGGCATATGTGTTTCTAAACTAAAGTTTGCAAACCAATCACTGAAAGTTCACAGATAGTGGCAGGTTCATTGTAGATTACTTTGTCGTGAAGTAAGTATGGGATTTCCCTCGCCGACTGCATTCGTTTTTTAAGAAGTGCCGTTAAGTTATAAACTTTGGAGGTACTTTCAAGTGCCGTTAACTCTTCGTCGAGGTCCTTTTGAGAGCGTAGGCGCTTGAGAGATTCAAGAGACTCGTGGATTGAGAGCAATAGTGATATGTCCTTAGTGGAATAGTACTGTTTCTTCAGTTTCCTTAACTTATTACGGTGTGCCCTTGGAATATATTCAGTTCGGTGTCTACTTAATTTCACTATTTTCTTTGGAGCAACTGTATCTAGACAAAGGGTAACATTCCTGTAAAACAGGGTTACTAAGGCCTCCAGGGAGTCAGTGGTAAAATAGTCATCCCATTGACAGAGTCGAATAAGTTCTTGGACTAATCCCCAGTCTGTATATTTGTAACTACGACATATTGTGCTTCCTGAGTCTTGTTTGTTTCCTGTATTTAGTGGTGAGAAAGGCAGAGAGCAGAGTACCATTCTATGGTCACTACTGGAAAATCGATTACCAACATACGTGGATACTGGGATTGTGTCATGACAAAAAACAAGGTCCAACATGTTGTCACCACGAGTAGGTGTCTGGACGTGTTGTTGCCATCCATAACAGTCTATAGTGGCAAGTAATTCGTCGAAGCGTTGGGGGCCGGAACTAGTTAGCCAATTGACTTCTGGAAGATTGAAGTCCCCTGCAATTATTTTGTAATTAGCACTAAACGAGGATGCGTGTGCAAACGATTTAGCTAATAACGCATCAGTTTCTTTTGTTGAGCTTGGTGCTCGATAAACACAGCCTATGAGAAGTTTGTACTTATCTCCATGTAAGACAACCCAGAGTGAGTCAGGTACATTATTCATTGTTTCATCTTCCACCTTACTGACTACAAATGAGCTATGTATATATATGAGACATCCTCCACCACGCTTGCAATCTCTGTTTGCACGGTGTACAGTGTAATCATCGATACCTATATGCACATCAAGTACAGAGGATGAGCACCATGACTCAGTAATCAGAGCTACAGTAGGCTTGGCGACTAATAATAATGTCCTTAGTTCAGATATCTTATTGATTAAGGAACGTGCATTAATTAGCAATATCGTGAATAAGTCACGGGATACTACAAACTGGCTTAAAATGTCACCATAACCTAAATCTATTTGTGCGTCAGCACCGCAAGAATTTATGAATGAAAAGGAGGTCGGACTGGGTGTCTGTACATCGGGTTGGAGTGCAATGAGGTGGTCCTAGGTGCCATGGGTCGTACCAGTGATTCGGGACACCTGGAAAATTTACCATGTGTTCCTGGATATAAGGGTAGTACAGGTTGGGCCTAGGTTGACGGTTAAAAGGCATAGCATCAGAAGGTCTACCCATCCAACTGCTATTCGTCATACCGGTATACACCTTCGGGTTGTTTTTATAACTTAAAGGGAATTGTGAAGGAAGGTGCTTTGGCTGCAAGACTTTAGGAGTCTTGGAGCCTGACTTTCTATAAGGTGGAGCATGCGGAACACCTCCAGATATACTTATGTTTCGAGAGGAGTTTTTCGTAACAAGTGATGGTTTGTTGGCATTCTTACTCTCAGCAGGCTTATTGAATACAAAGTATTCTTCCCCATCATTAGTCTCAACCCTGCGAAATTTGTTCATCGTGGTGAGGTTACTACGTTTGGGGGGAAATTTCTTAGAACAACTTGCAGAAGTTCTAGTCATTTTAACATCTTTCGATGAGGCTTTATTTACAGGGGTACTGGTATCTAAATCAGTTCCTAGTTCCATTGGCAGGTGTGGTTGTTGTGTAGTTTGCTGAATGCTAGTTTCAGCACTAGGTGTCTGTTGCTGTGCACGATCCTTTTTTGGTAAATCTAAGCTAGAGGAGGTGACCAGGTTATTACTACGCATTATTCTGCGCTGACACGGTGTTTTATCCTGAGCTACGGTTATAGACTTATAACTGCTATTCAGTCTTAAGTGATCCTGACATTTAGTAAACTTACTAGCATCAAGGGAATTACTGAATTTAAAAATGATTGGGCAATTAGCCTGGTTAGACTTTTTACGAAGTCGTTTGCATTCACATGGAACACTAGCCATGCCGCAACAAATCAGGATTTTGTGTCTTACAGTTTTCAGGGGCAGAGAATCTGGGACGTTGTAAACTATAGCTTGGTGAGAAGAGGTTATACGCTTCATCACCTCCGTAGCCAAGCAGTCAATCAGATTTTCAGCTTTATTTAGGTTGTCTGGAGATATTTTAGGATGCCTTTCTAAAAGACAGGCTATTGGGTCTAAATTCAAAAGCTTATTTTGAGTTACATCCAGTAAACACTTAACCTGACCAATATCAGAACGGCTCTCCGTGGTATTTGAGATTGGCAGTGACATACTATCAAACTGATCTAATTTTTTCTGAATTTCACTTACTTGCCTCTGCATATCTTTCAAAAGGAGGTTTAGTTTACAGAACTCAGAGTTCTCTAACAGAACATCTTTCACCTGTATCACAGGAGTGAGATCTGCACTCAAACCATTTTGAGAGCTAGTAGTTGATACTGTATTACCAGGCGGTAATGCAGTTATAACCGAATTTGAGCCACTATCTAAAACAATTGTGTTTCTACGAACACGTTTTTTAGAGATTTGGACCATAATTTCAAGAATTATATGACAATAAGCAGTAAATAAATTTCAGAGCAAACACGTGCAAAAATGTCACCAATTTCGAACGTACCGCCAATGCTTACAGTATGAAGTGTGCTAAGACTGTTACTACTGTGAATGGAGTTGATCCTTTCACCGGTTAGTCCTTCGGTATCATCGACGAGAGAAAAGAGATAACAATAATAAATATAATTAGTGAAGTTATCCAGACTAACAGACAGAAAAAGAAATAAGAAAACGTAACAGCAGTCAGCTGATTAAATTTGAAGAAAAATATGAATTATATATACATATATCGGTAATAATGATGATGATAATAGTAATAACAACAAGTGTAGTTAAAGTCGTCAGGAGAATAAGATGGGAGAGAATGTAAAGAAGTAAAACGACAAGTTTGGTTGTTCACCCGTGAATGGTGTATGGGATTTTAAAGGGATAGGCCATTTGGATGCAGTCCTTTTGTCGCTGGACGATTGTCCTGACTTCGCTTAAAGGCGTCCACAGACGGTGCCATAGCTACATCTGCCGGTAATGAATTACAGGGATAGAAAACCCGCAGTGAAAAGAAGTTGGAGCGCACCCGGGTCCTTGACCTCTTGTGAGCTATCCTTCTGGGATTTCCACGAGGGAGCCTATACCTACTCAATGGTGGAACACCTTTGTTTGTGTGACTCTGGTTAGTTGTTATTTTGTAGGCAGTATTTAAATCCCCCTCAGACGTTGATAGCTAAGTGTGAACAGTCCTAATTTCTTCGGCCTATCATCATATGGTTTATTTCGAAGACCAACCACTCATTTATTTCCCCGTCGTTGGAATCTTATCAAGAATCGGTGTCTCTCCTCAGCATGGGTGGTGCAATAGTATTTTGCACCTGAAGCTGTGGCCTGACGCACGTTTTGTACAACTTTAGAAAGAGCTCAGGAGTGAGTGCACCTTACTGTCTATGTATGATGTGTATGACCGCATATGCCCTCGCTACATCCCCCGTGTAATTTTCGCTTGTGTCCATTTTTTCCGTTAGAACTAGACCTAAGTCGCATTCCGACGTTGTGCAGGACGAGCTTTCGTTGCACAGGGTGTAACTTGCATTCTGCAGTCTACATGTGCCTAACTTCACTATTTTGCACTTTTTCAGGTTGAAAGTCATGCCAATGGCCACTGCCCAGTCTTCCAGAAGGTTTAGATCTTCCTGCAGCCTATCTGAGTCCTCCGGACACTTTATCGCCCTCCATATCTTTACGTCGTCAGCGTATAGGAGAGCCGGGCAGCTTAGACGGCGTGGTAGATCATTCATAAAAATCAAAACCATCAGTGGTCCTAGGATAGAACCCTGCAACACTCCTAATGACGAGCTGTGCCAAAATGATCGGACTCGATTGACCTTAGTGCAAAATTGCCTTACAGCTAGGTAGTCCTTTAACCATGACAGAAGTGGCTCACCTATACCTGCCCGGCTTATTTTGTGTAGGAGAAGGTCATGGTGAACAGAGACAAACGCCTTCTCAAAATCTACGAAGACCACATGGACTGGAACATTCATATCCCAGCATGATGTCCAATCGTCTCAAGCCGACAGTAGGTTAGTAACGCAGGAACTACCTTTCTTGAAACCGTGTTGGGCTTCATGGAGTATATTAGACCTACCGAAATATTCCCTGATGTTATCGTCAGTAAAACTTTCCAGTACTTTTGATCCCACTGGGAGTAGAGCTACTGGTCTATAACTAGTGGCATTTTGCCTATCCCCACCCTTAAAGATTGGAGAAAGGATGGCTCTTTTCCACTCCCTTAGCAGTTTCCCCGAATCCATTGAGTGTTGGAACAATTCCACAGGGGCCTGCAGAGAGCTTCGGCGCACTGTTTCAGAACAGATGGTCTGATGTCGTCACGACCTTGGGACTTCCCAGGTGTGAGTCACTTTGGCTTCCTAATTACTATTGCGGGGTTTATTTGAAGAGTAGCCTCTAGGTCTTCCTCCTGTGAAATAGTGGTGCCACCATTTTGGTCGGTAACTGCAATATCCACATCGCTGTTTAGCTGTTTGGCGAAGGCTGAACTGAACGTTTCAGCCATCTCCAGATTAGTGAGATACTGACCGTTTGGGCCTGCTAAGGCGCGTGCCCCTTGGTTTGTTGGTTTTCTTTCCGACATGAATCGGTACACGTTTCTGGGGTTTGATAGGATTTTTTTAGCAAGGTTAGCCTGGAATGATCCCCTGTCCCTCCTGACTTTTGCATTGCACCGGTTCCTGAGTTCTAGGTGTGCATCGTGGTCGGTCTGACTCTCAGATACGCGCCACGTAAACCAAGCCTTCAGCTTTGCTTGCAGAATACGTTGCGTGCCTCTCCTCAACCATGATGACTTTCTTTTGGGCTGTGTTGTGACTAAAGGACGGTATCCGAGATTGCTATATGAATAATCATTTTTACCACTTCCCAGTGTTCATCCACAGAAAGGTCATCCCATGCTAAGGGCCAGTCTGCGTCGGACAAGAGCCTCAGCATTTCAGCATAGTCAGCCTTGGTGTAACACAGACATGGTCGCGTAACATCCCACTGCAAACGCTCACGGAGAACAAGATCGGAACTTATGACTGCATAGTCACTACTTCCTAGAGGAGTCACGATCTGGACCTTTTCGATGACTAGTTGGTCACTAGTTAGAATATAGTCTAGTTTTGATGACTTTCCACTAGGGCCCCACCTAGTGTCGTCTCAGAAATTCTCGGTCAGTTCCGGGTTCCGAATGGTGTGCAGCAGGTTTTGGCCAAATTTTCCCTTGACATACCCCTAGCCAAGGTTCAGTGATGGGGCATTGAAATTTCCAGCTATGGTGATTTGGTCGTAGCCCAAATCTCGTATCCCTGTGATAGTGCTGAGCAGTAGCTGATTGTGCTTTGCCCCACAGGTTGGAGATCGGTAGATGCCACCCAGTAAGTGCTTGGTGTGGAATATGGTGAAATGACACCAAATGGGGTCTGGGAGTTCAATAAGTGGTGGGTCCGTTGCGCTCACACATTTAAGTTGCCTATCAAAGTATATAGCAACTCCCCCTCCTTCCTTATTTTTCCTGTCTCTCCTGACCAGAGCCATATTACTCATACTGATTTCATAGTCGGCGACAATGGGATTTAGCCACATTCTAGTGAGAATGATCATTTTCAGTTGTAGGTGTGCTTGGAGATTTCGGAGTTCACCTACTTTTCATCTCAGCCCCCTCACATTGTTTTTTAGGCAGCTGACAGTGAGTCTAACAACCTCAGCGTGTTGTGGAGTAGCTGACGTGAAACTGTCTTCTGGTGGGGGACTTAATGTTGGGATTAGCTGGCCGTTCCGATAGAACTGGCCCGTTGTAGTTTTTCCATGGATTTAGGCAGCACACTTGGGTGACACAGACTGTTATTCTCAGAACTGCATCGCTCTAGTGTCAATGAAGCTTGGGGACGTAAATAAAGCCCCATTTTGCTGCATCCTTATAGTTCGGGGTCTGCTTTCACAGCATCGGATGTGTCCTGCGATTTTTCCCTTGGTCTCATACCATCGTTGAGGTGCTATGGACAACTGCTCCGTGGAGGTGAATGTGACACTTAGCAGCTTTGGAGAGCTAATCAGTGTGAGATGAGCGGGGTGAGGTAGTTGGAAAATGGAGCTCCAGAAGCACCCAAGACCATTTGAGATGACAGCCATCTCCATTGCTGTACTTCTGCCATGTGCTTTTCACAAGCAGTGCCCGTTTCCAGCTCCGGGACACCGTGTGCCACCATAGAGGTGGAAGGCATCAGTTCCGGTGACTCCCTCGCCGTATGTCTGATAGCCCATGGTCTGTCTTGTCTCACCCCTATGTTCGAACTTCTGTCCATGTCCCAAGCCACTGTTAGTACTTTCCCGGCCTCTTCGGCAGAGTCCAGTGTAACGCTTAGTGGAGGTGGCCTACCCTGAGGCATGTGGACACCCCTGTACAGCCTGCACAATTTTGCTGAACTAATGTCCAGACCTAATTTATTGCACGTGTTGGACCACTGTTCCTGATCAAACAGGGCCCGTTGTTCAAGCAAGCTATCATTGGTCACAGGTACGTTAAAGAGGATAATAGAGTCAGACCGACTAACCTCAGACTTAGATTTGACCTTTGGCTTCTTGTATTCCTTTGCATCATCAACAACACTAGGCTTCATCAGGATCTGGCCAGCCTCTTTTGTGTTGCCAAGCTTGCTAGTGGATGCAGGTGGTGCTTTTGTAATTCTGTCTTTCCCTGATGTGGATGCAACCTTGTGAAAATTGGCATTTCCAGTCAGTGGGACTGGTGTGTCCTTCTCACTGTCTTTGCCAAGTTTTGGCAGTGTGATGTTAGCAGGTGGGGAGCTGGATGAGACTGTGTTGGGACACAAGAGCGGCGTGTTGTTTCTGCTATCCGCAGACACTCATTGTGGGACTATGCCAGGGCGACAAAGCGGACAATCGTACCAAAACCATGGGCATGGGTCATTTCTCATAAACTCCAAGTATGCTTTCCGTACCACTTTGTCACAACGGCAGTGCACCCATCGTTTGCAAAAATTGCATTCAAACGCTGAGTCAGTTTTAGAAACTATGATACTGCACGCCTGACATTCATCTCCTTTCCTTGGTGACGCCTTCGAGGTCTTATGACGTCTTGAACGTTTCCTTTTAGTTTTGCTGTGTTTCACACGCTGGCCTACAGTTGATGCAGGTGTAGTGACCTGTCCCCCTGGTATTAGCTGTGCCATTTGAGTACTAGACTGTGGCAATGCAGGCGTAGTATCAGGACAGACGAAACCTACAGGAGTCTTTAGGATCGGTATGCGGGAAAGGGTTGAAGTCCCTGGGTTTTTTCCTTCTCTGGCTGAAGCCCTTGTGACTACAGAGTGTGGTGTTTTAGTGGCTTTTCTAAGGCTACTTTCGACAACCATATTAGCCATCAGTATGACTTGTGCTATAAACGAATAAGAAAGCAACAGTATCCACCCAAAAGAACAACTATAAGACTGAAAAAGTACAAGACAAGGAAAAGAAAAGGTTTTCGACTTTACCTAGTCTTTTCTGGACGATCGGCTTCACAGCAATCACGTGGTAGACCAACAAGTCTTGTTTATCTGAACGAGTGAGGAAGACGCTGCTACAGAAGTAGCACCTGAAACTTTGGCAGTAATTAGAGACAGCTGGACTTACCAGATAGATTTAATATGTAAGTAATGGGCGAATTTAATTCACCGCCTAGGGACATCAGGTGTGGAGTCCTCAAAAATAAACTTATCCAATTTTTACTACTATGTAAGAAATGAACATATTGTACATTACTTTGTTTTAACCATAAACTCTGTACTTTGAACTTTACCTCGGGTTTTGAACGAAAATATAGTTCTGTCTCCGACTCTCCGTCTTCTCCACCATCCCAACCGCCATCGATCAATTCTAACCACCTGCCTTCTATCTCAAATTTTCGCAGAAACACCGTAGTTTCTTCCTACGTACTTTGGTCGGCCTCCGGCAACGTCAACATTGGAGCAGTCCTCCCGTAGTACCTCTGGAGTTTATTACGTTTATTGTGGATTTTGGATCTTTGTAAACCCAAGTAACGAAACTTCAATACATTCTTCCCGTAACCAAAACTGATTTGGTATTTTATTTTCTATTTGAATTTGGGATACTACGCTAACAGAGTAAAAGGTCCATCACACAGGTTTCTCAATCGGATAATTCACAAAATTAGCATTTTCCGGTTAGGGAGGAAAAAGCACGGCGTATTCAAGGAGCGCGCGTTGGCGTTCAATTCAAATTATGTTATGTTAAAAATGCTGCGAGATGTTATAAAACTATACATTTTAGAAAGGTATGTGAGGATAGGTAGTTGTTGACTGAATAAAGTCATTTCGACAAAAAAATAACAGCGTATTATTAATTACACGTACGTATGTCAAATATTAAAAGGTGTGGTTGCTAATATAATTGTTTCTATAGTCACATACTAACATAACATTTGGAAGATTATGGAGAATAGAAAATTCGTAAATTAGGTAAACATTCGCTGCATAAGTAGTAGAGTTGAGTTATGCGTAATTGGCTACGCTGAAGACTGGACTGGCTTTCATTTACCATTCTATCAACAGTTTCGGTCTTCTAGACAAGCTAGGGCGGACATGTTAGGCTCCGTTTGAACCCATCGGGGTTTCCACAGCATCTAATTTTAGATGGCAGTTGGTTCCAAAGAGTGCAATATTTAATGGCGAAAAAGTTTGCTCTGATGGATTTTCTGTGGGTAGCCTCCTTCAGAAGGTGTCGTGGTTTCACAGATGATGAGGTTTGATATTTGCCCTCGTTATGGATGAGTTACTGTTTCCTGATGGCTTTAAAGTGTAGAAACAAGTTGCACTTCACTCTCCTTATTCATCTGCAAAGAGGTATGGCTTTGCATTCTCGATCATAGAGACTGTCGTTTACGAGTAAGGGGAATAGAATAGGGCCAAGAACGCTACACTTTACTACACTACTAGTTATCGGCTTCGGTAAAGACAGCTGGTGGTTGATTTTGACTAACTGCTCTCTTTCTGTAAGAAAAGGATTTATCCGTTTGAGAGGCTGTCCACTCATTCCATGGGATTGGAGTTTTGTTAGGAGTCTGATATGTGGGACTTTATCAAACACTTTGCTAACGTCGAGAAATAATGTTGTTACTGAACGTCCATTATCAGTGCATTGTGTAATGTAGTCAAAACAATCTAGGTGGCAGGTGATGCATGACCTTCTACTTAAGAAACCGTATTGGGATGGCAATAGTAGGTCATCTGGGAACATGTACTGAATGGTTTGAGTCTTTACTATCTTTTCCATTACACATGAAACTATAGATGCGGTGTTGATGGGGCGGTAGTTGTTGATATCAGCCATAGGCCCGCATTTATGGATAGGAACAATATAAGACTTCTTACAGCAGGTAGGGTATGTCCCATCGCTTGGTGAAATAGAGTATAACTTGAGCAGGAGTAAATTCATGTCATTACCACCGTTTTTCAGAAGAATGGAAGGTACACTGCCCGGACCAATAGTGTTGCTAAGCTCAAGATTTGACAGAGCTTTATCAATCTCTTGTGTGGTGAAAAGTATGTCACTTAGACATTCGTCTGTTGTGTGTGGGAAATCCACGACACGTTCGTTTTCCAAGGTGTTTAATCTGGCGAAGTGCTTGCTAAAGAGTTCACATATCACTTTAGTATTCTTAGGCAGTGCCGCCTAAGTATATTATTTTTGGGTGGGCTGTTTTGGAGTTTGTTAAACTACTTTTAAAAGCTTGTCTATTCCTCCTAGTCTATGTGGCGCTTAAATGGCTCGCATTTCTTTGTTTCTGAGGCTTATATTTTTTAACTCCTGAATTCTAGTGAGAAAGGATCTAATGGCCATTAATGATGATAAGTAAAGATATCTGTATTTTATTGAATGCTTTCGTAGACTTCTCCCTAGCGATGTTGGAATATGATCGCTGTGGGGGAATTTGCAGCCAAGAATCTTCTCAGGTGCAGTGAAATCATGAATTGACTTAATATTGTGATGAAATTGTTAAAAACTGGCTCTAGCTCAGTCGAAAGCACGAGTCCGAATTAGATCATCCAATTAGATGCTGATACAAACCCCAGTCAATATGCGTTTACAATCTAATGGGTGTCTGGCCAGCTGCATCTCTGCTTTTTATTTCTGGAAAGATGTCAAAAGAACACGCTACTATTTTATGGTCGCTACCTGGAAATTCATGTCCCACATATACTGTAGATGGTGTTATGTTGTTCATAAAAATAAGGTCTAGGATATTTGCGGATCTAGTGAGTGAATCTATGTGTTGTATCCACCCTCCTGTGAGCATGGCATTCAGGAGATTTCATTAGTTTGGGCTCCTTGGATTGAAGAACATTATGCTTCTGACATGTTAAAATCACCTCCAATAATTTTATAACTGAGGGGAAGATTGGCTGTAACACTGAAAATGTTGTTGAGCATATTATCATATTCCCTTCTGGATGAAGAGGTCTGGTATGCACAACCCAGAAATATAGGTTTACTTCTGTCAACTTTTATTTCGACCCAGATCGAGTCATTGGGTAGTGACAGAATTAGGTTACTGGACTGGGTTGCACACATGGATTGTTCACAGTAGGTTAGTGTTCCACCTCCACGGTCTGTCTGTTCCTTCGAAAAAGATTGTGGTTATCAATTCTCAGGCTGTCAATGGAGATTTCAATTGTGTACCAGTCCTCAGTGATCACAATTATTGACGGTCTGCATATGGAAGATGATCTACTCAGAGTCAAGTGTTTGTTTGGAAATCATCTATTATTTACTACGATAATAGATAGACACTGGCTACGTGGTTTCAGTGAGCAGACAACACCCTGATAAAATAATCCGTGAGTATCATCTATATACATGTTTTTAGACTCACCTACCACTATCTTTGGATCATAGAAAGCCTTCAGGCAGGACCGTGAGTTATTTGTCAGGGATGCTCTGTCGTTTGGGTAGGGTACGTGGTGAGAGGCACCTGTGTGAGAATCAGATATGAGTATTTAAATGATATAAGTATCTGCCTTTGGTGCCAACACTGTGTCAGCCATCTCCCGGGAAACGTGCCTTGCCCTGGATGTGGACTGGCATCCATTTAGTTCTCATCTCCATGGGATAAGTTAAACTTCCAAGCTTGCCTAAAATGAGGGTAACTAATTATGTAATAAGCTCAACGAAAGGCAGCATATATGATTCCTGATATGATAGATTTGTAATACGAAAAGGGAATCAACATTCGGAATCAGCTTCCACACCATACTACAGGGAAAAGAGGTATGGTCACAATGCTCGAAATTCGAAATGACTGATTTTACTCATAATTTCCTATCCATCCCACCTTCAGAAGACCTATCACGAGAATTCAGAATCTAAGGGGAGACTATAAATTTGCGGAATATGTGTTCTCCGGCTAGGCCGTGACTGTAAGAAAAGACTTCAAGGAGAAGTGGTGTCTGCTCCCTGAATCGACTTATTCAAGAAGGAATTAAACATCCACAGACACTTATTGAAGGAAAGATACTACAGAATTAAGACTTTCTGTCCTCAAAAAAATTCCGAAAATTGGCATATCAGTTCAAATGATAAGTCTTTTCGTGTATTGTCTCCATTCATAAATTCCATCTTTAATTGACATTGAACCATTGGACACATGTGGCCTTTATATTACCTTTAGGTCACCGGCATTTTGATTCAAAATGTCGTCGGACGCCCAAAACTGTAAGTTTATCTTGTAGGTGTATCATATTCTGTAGATTCTGGGGATGAGGGAGAAGAGTACAACAGTCCTTATAGAAAAAATGTAAGCTTATATTTCACTTGTAATAATGTTTATGAAGCCTCCTCGGGTTCGGAAGAAAAGTCGGTATTACGATGACGACTACTACGAACCTCCAACTAGTTACAAACCTCGTGTACTTCATTCTCCAAGGCCTCAAGTACAAGCAGAGGAGATGCCACAAAAAGTTAGGAAGCCTGTAAAAATGGTACGTTGGTAGCATTACAACTATTTGCCTTAGCATAAATCTATGATTGGCCATATGCCATGGCGATCCCAGATGCATCACCCAGAAAGACGACTAGCGCAAGCAAATGCTGTTCGCTTACGTAATGTCCTTAAGCTCCCAAAAGCCCACAAATGGGTATTTTATGAATGGTTCTACTCAAATTTGGACAGGTATTGCAATCTATAATAATATTTCTCTAGACCTTTGTTACTAGGTGAGAATGATTTCCGTATCTGCCTCCGTGAAAGTTTCCCAAACGTTAAAACTCGACGATTATCCCGTGCACATTGGTCATTGTTACGCCGTTTGATGGGGAAGCCACGACGTTGTTCTACTGCATTTTTCGACGAAGAGCGTCGTTCGCTAAACGAAAAGCGAGAGAAAATACGTACTCTGCAAACCACGCGTTCTGTCCAGCTGGAGTTCTTAAGAGATTTACCAGATGATATGCATGTCCCTATGCCTTTAATAATTGGGACTAAAATAACAGCCAGGTAAGTGTACCAGTTATATTCACTAGCTTTATTTTTGTGACATTGCATCATCAGTCGACGACGTAGCGAAGTAATGACTGGCTGATTTCAGCATAGAGCTTTGCACCAATGTGCAGCAGTTCGAGTTGCCACACTTCACTTAGCACACTAAGCAAGGAAAGTGAGTAAAGAGAGATAATAAACACATATGAGGCAAAAAGAATAGTAATATGCAAGAACAGTATAGTTTTATTAAGTGTAACTGAAGTAGTCGTTTGATTTGTTTATCCCCACTTTAATTTCTTACGGACAAATAAGATTACATTGTAAATTCTTACTAGAGATACTGTGGTATTTTATTTTGTTAATTATCTGGTTAAGTGATGTACAAGCTATATGTACCAGTCAAATAAGATATGTAGAGAAAAGTTCAATATCTGGCTGTTAAACAATATTTTTCCATCATTAAAATTATAGTTATGGTAATGGGAGGCACCAGCCAAAGTCTTTTATTCTCCTCATGGTCCAATGAATATTTTCAACCAAGCTAACTAGTTTGAATTTAACAAGAATAGAAATGTCAGTTACAGTAAAATCAGTATTTCTGGAGATCATTTGCTTTTCATTTGTGTCAATTTGTAAACCGCTTTAAATTTGTACCTATTAAGGTAGTTAATTATACATGCAATTTCACAGGCTTTATCACTAACCTTCATACAATAAGTATGATTCATCTCCAACTGCATTCTTGGAAAAGCTGGGTTTGCCAAGTTGCCGAGGAAATTAAAATAATTACAAATGATTAGATCGTTTTCGTGGTGAGGCTTTTACTTCGTATATCTTCACCTCACCAACAAGCACTGCAAGATGCCCAACTGTCCTGCTGTTGTTTGATGTTCAGCTTCTCTCTCTGCATTGGTTATTTATATCAAACTAATTTGAAACCATGACTTGCTCCAATGGAATTTAGGAGAGGTGTGTTTAAAAATGCTTTAGACAGTCAGCTGACATCCTGTAAGCATTTGTTTGGAAAATTCTTCAGTGTTTCTAGTTTCACTGATGAAATATTCAGTACCAGGAGGGCTTTTTCTATTTGATTCAGAAATGAAGGCTTTAACTTGCACACTAATATTATCCGTCATTATTAGTGTTATTAGGATTATTACTTTTCAAAAGATGTCTTACGCGTTCAAGTTTCAGCCAACATTATCAAAACTTGAAACACAACTCACCTTGGTTTGGACACTATATATTAGGAGAACCATGTGTCATCATATAGTTAAGTGTGTCTTATAGTGTTGCACGTAAAGGCGTACCAATGCTCGAGCTTTTAATTAATGACGTTGTGTGTCTGGGCACTTGGTGAGTGGTCATTCTGCTGTTATGATCCACATGATCTGAATTTATGGCATGTATTTATCGAATGTGGTTTTATTATACGATGCACTTTAGTACATAATAACGTGAAGATATTCTTGGGAACTGTTGAATTGGTTCCTACTTCTTGTTTATTTAAAAAAACTCATATTGGACGCATACACACATCATAACTTCCACTACCCGATACTGAAATATTATTTATTATTGTTGTTTATCTTCCTTTCTACTTGGTTTTTCATTTTTTCGTTTTTTTTGTTGTTTTTATATTTATTTTTTGTAATACTCCTTTTAAATGTGCGATGAAATTAGATGCAATATTGTAGATATGTGCTGAAAATTCCATACTGTACTACTGGTACTGTTTCTGGAATAAGGCAAATTATTATATTTTATGTCTAGTAATTGCGATTGTGTCGGTGGTTTACTGGAAGGATACTTTCCAGCCACGAATGTCGTCCCGAGCTCGATTCTCGTCAGACATACTTCTAAACCTCATGATGTAGTTTACTAGCTAATTGTAAACATGGTAAAGAGAGAATGTTGGGAGTGAGGCTAGTAATTCCAACCCGTAAAAGCGGCATCTCCGCTGCAGTCTCTTATGTTCCATTCGGAAGGCAAGGAGAGAAAAAACAACAACAAACAACTACATTTGATTAAGCTTTCCTCTTATCACTGAATCAAACTGCACTGAATGTTTGTTTTACTATGCGGTTAAGATTTTATTTATACAATTATCTCTGTTAACATTCATTTCATTCAAATATATTTAAACATATTGCAGGGTTCGTTATCCAACAGATGGTTTATACACTGGAAAAGTAGACGCTATTGACGCATTACGACATTGCTATCGTGTAACTTTTGACAAACCTGCTCTTGGTACTCGTTCCATACCTGATTATGAAGTGTTAAGTATATTACCACAAGAAACTATCCCTCTATCGGCGTATAAAACTCAACATAAAGCTAGTCGTAATCTTTTTATGAGTCCTGCTCGACTACTAGCACAGTCAGCTTTACAGGTGAGTTATTGGTCTGTAACATCAGAATTTCATGATTGCGTAATTATATTATTACTATTACTCACTTGGTTCCCCAGCGAAACAGCAATACCTATCTTTATCATTTTGTTTTTTGTAGTCCCATTTTAGTTGTCTCCACGATTACTTATAGCCTTTTATTTTCTCGTACGGTCACTTTCATGTCATCCTCGGACACACAAATTTCTTCGTTTCACAATTGGCATTCCACTTGAGGTCAGGCCTGTGATGTGATTTCACTCAGTGGTCTCCCCAATGTATATCCAGTCCATCTGCATTTCCTTCGGCATTTTTTGTTGAGCAATAGGTTGAGCAATTGCTCCAACTTCTAGTTCCTTATCCTCTCCGGCCAGTCATCTGATCTTCAATATGAAGCTAAGGGAGTTCTCGTTAATGATCTCCAGTCTTGTTGGAAGTGTTTTTGTTAAATCAACAAGTATTATGACTTAATTGCAACTTAATGTATCATGGTATATACATAACTCATGTTTGACTTGTCTGTCCTAAAAAATTTCGGTGAGATTAATAATGGATATACATGCGATTCGATGCTTTTTTAAGCATAAGTAGTTCAGAGGTGTTGTGCTCACTAACAACCACGCATGCGCTTTGGGGTCAGTCGACGCATTCCAAGACCCTGTGTAGTTTATAATCTGGTGGTAGTTAGCCCGGTAGAAAGAAAAGGATGGATGTAAGACTGTGACAACTCCACCCCCCTAAAAATCAAACAACATTGTTATTGAAACTTCAAAAAGTTTGGTTCCCTATATTCCACTATGGCTAAAATGTTGAGCACGAAATTGGAGACATGGCATACTATTATTAGGATTTCCGAGGTTTCAGTTAAAAATTACATCATATCATCCAAAATCTTCAGTCGTGAATCTTTATATGATAAGAAAGCAGGCGTTGAGTGAAACGCTAATATCTATGCAACCTAATAATACATAAAAAATGCAACTTTTTAGTTTGGGGACTTGATTTTCAATTAAAAGGGTTCAAGGTCCACATTGTGTCCTACACACTTCACACTGGGAAACTAGGTAGTATTGTAACGACAGAAGACAAGGGCCAGGTAACATATCATTTATTTAGGAAGTCAACACATTTGTAGATTTTCATGTACATTATTATAGATTATTGTAAGCAAACAAACACAGTCTTTTGATTGGTGGTTTCTCTCTGAACGTTAATCTTTCATCTCTTTGTGGCTGTTTCTTGAAGTTCAGATTATCGATCTGCAAATTGTTTCCGCCTACGCAAAGTCTGCTGTGGTTGGTTTTTGAATCAGTGTTTGTGTTTATTTTTCTCACGATCAATGCTGGGGACGTAAACATTGGTGTAAATTACTGTCTACCAGTTTGGTTAGCAGCAAGCTCTAACCACAGTATCATCAGCTGTTTAACAATAATTATCTGGTTCTCCGCCTAGTACACAAAAGATATCATTTCAAACGTGTTTAGTGTTAACTGCAAGAAAATTAAAGCATCGCCTACTCGCTTAATTGTTTTCATAATGACATTTCTAACAACTACTTCAGCATTAGAGCGTGAGTTCTAGATCGCCAAAAAGAAATCAGAAACACTCCTCTGTACTTGACTGACTGGTTTCAACATAAAACTTTGCACAGATGTGCAGTAGTTCGAGTCGCCATACTCGATGTAGCATAGAAAGCAAGAGAGGAGAGTAAAAGGAAATGCGAAATATAGAGACATTAAACAGAGACATGAGGTAAAAAGAATAGTAATATTGAAGAACTTCGGTTTTTTCTCAGTGAATAATTCATGTGGACGAGACTTATTCACAAATAACCTTTAAATATTTCTTGTTTTCAAGTATTGGTTTTGTAGGGATTTTGTTTGATTGCATGGAGGATTTCATTATGAGCTGAGATCACTTAGAGAAACACTGGAAAACCTGGGAGTACTGGACAGCTGTTTCGTCTTAGTTTGGGACCTGGGGTTCTAGTAGGAAGCTGTGACCAGTAGGGTACAGCAGGTTGAAGATGAGGCAGTAACTCATCGAAGAAGACATTGCGAAATGGCCGCGCTATGTGGTGAACTGGCAGAAGATAGAATTCAAGGACCATTGGATCGAGTCCCAGTGGCTCAATGGTCTACGAACTTGCCTTGTAACCGGAAGGTCCTGGGTTCGAACCCTTGGGGTGGGTGCGTACTGCTGAAGAGCCCCAAGCTAGGACGAAACAGCTGTCCAGTACTCCCAGGTTTTCCAATGGTTCTCTAACTGATGTCAGCTCATGATGAAATCCTCCATTGCTTATTTTCTTGAAGAAACTTCTTAATGAATGTAAATCCATATCAATATATCTTTATGATAAAATTCAGATTTTAAACGCCTAATCTCAAGTGAGTGCTTCTCTATGGTTTAAAGGCTTAATGCATCATGAAAAGCATCTTCATCAGGCTTCCAACTTTTATCAATAGCTGCCTTCGCTAGTTCGATACCGAAAATCAGATGTAGCCAGCCAGAAAAGATTGGCAACAAGCAACTCTGAAAGGTAGGGCACCTATCGAGAGCCTTTCGCTGAGGACACGGTTGAGTGACATCGCGCTTATGGACAATTGTGAAGCCAGCTGAAAAAGACTGCCGGAAACAGAATGAAGCAGAGATGTGCTGTTGAAGCCCTGCTATGTTCCACTTGGAACCCAAGGGAATAATAATAGTTTATTTTTGAACCAAGGGTTTTCTGTCCGCTGCTTTCAACTGTTTAACACCTATTTGAAGTGCACCGCAATATTGTGCACCATATTCTAAACCTGACACAACCAGCACTAAAAGCCAGATCCGTGACACCAGTTAGTTGGTGAAATCTTATTTATGCGGAACAATTTTTAATGAGTCAACCAAAGAGCCACACTTATCATATATGCATGAGAGTACGTTTTGCGCTTCTCCAGCCATCACATTCCTCGTTGACCAGTATTAGTTGACATGAGAGCAGGCTGGAGAAGATTTGGGGGAAGTGAAACCAAAATCTGGCATCAGTCTACAAAGTCTTTGGTAGTTGTCTGAAAAATTAGCCACGTAGGCATTCTACTTATTCCCTAGACACTTAGAGTAAATCTCTATTCCTAGACAGGGTTATGTATTTTTTTAAAGAATTAAGATTAGGGTCCAGGGTTCAGCTTAGCTTTAGAGATAAAGACAGAGTTAGGGGTTAGGATTGTTGGTTAGTGTTACGACGGTAGGCTAAATAAAAGTGTCCCAAAGTTCCATGATCTACAGTCACTTCGATAATAATAATTTGCGTTATTACAAAACAGTACTTGTGATACAGAATGGAATTCTCACCATTTTACTACAGTATTGCATCCGGTTTATACATTAACAATAAATAAAATTCTACATAGATTAAGGGTAATCTCAGTTAGTTTTGACAACAACATATTAGCATGTCGGTAGCAAAGCCAAAAGTGAACAGAATGTTTGAAGGTGTTAGAAAAGTAGATTCTAGCATGTTTACTGGCGTAAGTGGTAACAAAAAGTTCGAGATATACAGAGTGTGAAAGAACGAACAAGAATGTTTTAAGTAGAGTTTGTAAGGAAGAGAGAAACAAAACAGTACATAACAAAAATAAATACAGAAAAAAAGGTAGAGAGAAAAACGTTGTACCTGTAAATGATGTGAGTTGGGAAGACGAGATTCAGTTGTTCTATTGGCTATTTAATTAGTTATAAGTTTCACGCCTAATGCCCTCTTTATCGCACAGAACACTGGCTAAGTAGGGTATGGTTGAGCTTTTGTACTTGCTAGTGCGATCATATAGTTTTCTATATAGGCGGGCTTCTGGTCCTGCCTGATGAGCTACAAGAGGAGAGTTGTGAATGAAGAGGGTGGTGAGAGATAGGTAGAATGGATTTAGCCCATTTTTCACATGAGTCCAAGTGCCTATCGACTAGAATATTAACAAGCTGGTTAAGTGGCACATTGCTTACCCTGCTGACAACCTTTAACACCCTACGTAATAAGATATAGTCCTTCTTCAGTAGCCCTGGAAAAAGTAAGGGAGAACAAAAGAGAATAATAGGCAAGATGCAAGAGTTAACGGCAAAGTTAAACTTTCAACACCACTGACAACGAATCAACAAACGACCTTGAACGGACCAATCACATTAAAGAGGCATTTGTGATGAATGGAAACGTATATTTATAGAAAAATGCATAAAAAAAGATAAAACGGTTACAAGGGGTATCTTTCTCAAACATGTGAGAGTGACATCTCCCAGTTTAGCATGGAGAAGTCACACCACATCCTGTACATATATTCCTCTTAATGACCATAAATGAGATCCATTTATAGCCCTTATCCTGTTTTTCAAGCGGCCCCAAAACCCTTCAATGGAATTCGTATGAGTCCTCGTAACGGGATCGACCCAGCAAACAAGTGATTTTCTCTATTTTCCACGAAGCAATATCTCTGCAATGCTGGTACCACTGAACTGTTGAGACGAGGCTGTTCTCCGTCTCGGCAGCTGCTGCTCTCACCGGCTGTTTCAACACCCAATAGTTGCAGATATACAAAATCTGGGTTAGGGAGAGATGCGACCTAGCGAAAAAAGTTCCTACGAAATATTAAAATTATCAGCTTACCCTCTCTAATGTTAGCATTCTTCAAACATGTAGCACAACGATGAACAAATCCATCAGTTGATCTGCTATAGCTTCTTTAAGTCATGATACCACCACACGAACAAGTTCGCTCCTTCCGGAGCAACCCTAAATCCAGGCAATACCGGAAAACACTGTCCTCCTCGAATCGCAACCGTAACCTTGTAAGGTCACGCATTAGAAAAGAATCAAGTGCTATGCAACACTGAACTACATTCGTGAATCTCATTGGATAATTCGACGTCGTTCGCTGATCGGTAGTTAGTGGTGTCGAAAGTTTAACTTGTCCGAGTTAACGAATCGTAAGAGTAATGGTTGGGTTATTCCAGAATGTCTTAACTTCTTGATGTAGAAGATGAGACGGAATATTTTCTTAGAAATCATCGAGATATGAGACGACCAGGAAAGATCAGCAGATGGAATGACTCCTAGATATTTAACTTCTGACTTGGTCTCTGTTTCAGTGTCATCTATGTTGCACATCTCGTGTGAGTGCTAACCAGTTTTTTTAGGTCAGATTTATGCCTAAAGGTGAAATTGACTGTTTGACATTTAGAGGGATTTAATTAAGGTAAGACCGCTTTCCTTGAACCACTGGCTGATTTCTGATAAAAAGCCATTTAGTTTGTAGCAGTCACTTTGACACTTGACAGGCAGGCAAAGATACAGTCAGATCGTCAGCGTATTTAACAAAATTAATGTCATTTGATGAATATATCGGTCGTGCATGGTATGATTTCTCTATAGATTATCTTCGTAGTGACTGGGAGAAATTCTTAGATAATACATAAGCGACAATTAATCTAGTGTAAAATATCATGTTTGCAAGATGTTTTTCAAGTGTATTTTTCAATAACTCTGTGACCGTTTGCATCTCAGTTCTGATTGGCCATTCAGGGCCATTGATTTTGACTGTGCTAGTTTCATTCTCTATTTTTATCTTTCATTTCAGGGTAAACGTCATCACTTGCATCATCATAAATTTGGACATGGTGCAGGTCAAGGTGGTCTTGGTATTGGTGGATCTGGTGATTTAACTGTTCACGATTGTCCGTTATGTCAGTCAGAAGCGGCAGCGGCTGCAGCCGGTGGTAGTGGTGGTGCAGCAGCCGGTAGTAATACAGCCATGAGAGCAGGCTTTATGTCAGGTGCTAGTAGTCTTCTGTCTACTCCACTGAAACTACCAGCAATTAGTAGTGGTGATGTCGCTGCGACAATGGGTAGTGCTGCTTTATCCCTGAATAACAGTGAACCATCCGGTGGTCGATTATTACTCAATGAAGCTGATATTTATGGCGGTTATCCAATGAAATTTCTAGTCATGGTGGTAAGATATATTTATATTTGCATATCATGCTTTTGTGATATAATTATAATTATAATCACGGAGAACATTTGTAGCTCTGGCAGTTGATTTTTTTATGTGGTTGTGTTCTCTGAATTGGGTGTGGGGGGATTTATTAGTTGCAAAGCTTTCATTCTTTCTTTTTTTTGGGCAATATCGCCTCAGCGCGTTCTGACTTCAATATAAAGTGTTAGCTAGTTTGAATTGCCTATCAATGGTACAATTGTATCCCCTAACAACTTTTGTTGTGTTTAGTTGTTAACTTACACTAGTTATTGGTCGTTTTTATTGATTTTTCCTGTCATGTTACTTACTCTTTATTACTAATTGATAAATTGGATTTATAAGTAATGTCTATTTGGGAAGTACCATCAGCCCCAACGGGTTGAATTCCCCAGATTTTCGAGAATTGTCATCTTTACGCGTCTATGTATGTCGGATAGGGTTATGTGATGATGTGCTTGCAAAGCGTGTGCTTTTTGTGTGGTAAGTATTAATACAGCTCCACTCGTTGAAGTAACCTGAAGCGGCTTTTTATCCTTCACACATCCACTTATCACTTATCAACTAAGGACATTGATCCCATAGGTCACCTGGAAACCTGTTTTTGTTTTTCAACACTTTGGAAAGATGATTTTTTGCCAGAATTTCCTTTCCTTACTTAACTCTATGTTTAACCTAGTTACCTACCTATAGTGTTGCTCTCCACGTAAATTTGTTGTTGCTGCTGTTCCCTTGAGTTCATAGTGAAACATAGGGCTTCAACTGCACGTCTCCACTCGCTTCTGTCTTCCTTCTGCTGTACTTTTCACCTCCATCCATGTTAGTCCATACTGTTTCAACTCCTCTTCACACGATCTCCTCCGTGTCACCCTTGCACTGACGTCCCACTCGCCGCTTCCCATTCTGTGGGGTTCCACTCGAGCAATGGCCTGACGCGCGCGCGATATTACTCAGCGGCGGCCTCCTCAGCGAGTGTCCAATCCATCTCCACTTTCTCCTGCATATTTGTTGGCTGGCGATTGGTCCTCGTTTCGTTTGTTCCCATAGTTTCTTGTTGGTGATTCTTTTGCGACCCGGTCATCTGATCTTCACTATAGAGCCAGCGAAGACAGTTGTTGGTTGATAAAGGTAACGTCTGCAACAGGCTGTTGGAAATATTCTTTGTGACCCGCCCGCCAAGTTTCTGATCCGTATAGAAGAACTGACTGACTTGAGCTGTTTGTATTGAAAATCCGACTGAATTTTGTTGTTGATGCTGAGTGGGAGTGGAAGATTTCCAGATTGGTTGTTTCAGGTTGATGAATGTGTTTCTCGCCCTCCCCCCGCGATTCTCGATTTGACATCCTCGTCCGTTCCCGTAATTGAGACAATGCTCCCTAGATAAGCGAGTGAATGAAGTAACCTCTTTCAAATCCTTCCCGTTGATGGTGATTGGCGCTGGATGTTGCTGTTGTTGTTGTTGGTTGGCTGGTTATTTTCATAACCTCCGTCTTGTCTATGTGCACCTGGAGTCCTGTCTCCACCGGCTGCTTCTTCGACCAGTTTGTTGGTTTTCGCTTGTAAGTCTTCGATTTTGTGTAACATAAAACATAAATCATCCACGCGCGAAATCCAGGTCTATCTAGGTTCTTCACGTCGGTTGGTCCAGGATATCCCTGTCTTCTTGTTTCCCACTCACTGTCTGACGCCTAATCCAATCAGTCCACCACAATTAGGAATATCATTTATTGGTGATAATAAGCACCCTTGTCTGACTCCTGTGTTTACTCCAAAAGCCTCGCTGAGTTTTCCCGTTGTGGATCACATGTAAAGTTGGGAGTTGGAAGTAGTCGAAGGCACTTATCGTGAATTTACAATTCTCTAACACCATTTTCAGAAAATATATGAATATTAGTGATAGGGGTAGAGGCTTTTACATCGATTACATAACTCTAATGTAATCATTATTATTATTATTATTTATATTGTATTGTGAATTGAATCTGATTTCCTGTCTTTGTATTTTTTCTAGACGAAATTATCTAAAATATTAGAAGTTAAAAAGCGTTGTGTTGATGAATTACAAGACTTAAATGATGAAGCAGAACGTAAGGTGAGTAGTAAATTTTGTAGTTTTCTCTTATAGAGTTTGTCTCACCTTATCTATAGATTTCAAATAAAGCTGAACTCTCGTTAGAATTTCAACACAACTATCTTACACTAGTTATGCATTTAGAACGGTTAAATAAGGAATTGAATCAATATTTGGCGCATGTCTTACAATACGCTAATGAGGTAAGTTCAATATTTGTGCATTTTATCTTATTATATCATTATTATTTACACCCTCGTGGGTTCTGATCCCTCCATTCCCCCCTCTATTCACCGTAGTAGTCTTTGTTAACTGGCGCTTACACTTCCTCCTCTCACGATCTCCTCCTTCTCCAGCTGTCGATCCACACGAAACTCGTCTATTCTTGTTCAATATCCACTTGAGCAGGATGCATATGGCACGCATAATATCACTCAACGCATAATATCCTCAGCGTGTGTTCAGTCCCATCTCCATTTTATTCTTCATATTTCTTGGACGACATTAGTGTAGGTCTTTGGTTGTTTCGTTGTCTTTCAGAATGCCTTTTTACTAATCCTTTATAGTTATAAGATTTCCAATGTGAAGGGGAGGCAGCGATTGGAGATACTTTTTTTTCGGAGTACCCACAAAGCCTATGAGCCATATATATATATATATATATATATATATATATATATATATATATATAAGAATTAACTTGTCATTAGTGTTGACGGTGTCCGGATCTTGTTCCTTATGCTCAGTTCAGTAGATTTTTAAAAAAATTGATTTACTTTATTCCAAAAACCGCACTTGTGATACAGAATAGAATTTTCAGCATTGATCACAATATTGCATCTAATTTCCTCAAATTATAAATAAAATTAATCACACAGAAAATTTTCCACATTTACAATAGAGGTAGCGTCAAAAACATGCGGCATATAAAGTGGAAATAATAATAATACAAGTGAAAATTTCCATGGGCTTGTTTCACACAGTATTGGCAATGCGGTATAGAAATCCTAGCATGTTTAAAAATATTGAATATAATGTTCTCTTTACATGATGATGATGGCGAGGGGAAAAATAAAGATTACAGCAGTCATGGAGATAAGTTGGTGTTTGAAATTATGAGAGTAAAACAAACGATGAAGCAACAGGACCATAGATATAATAGAAATAACAAAAGTAAGAGTTGAAGGTATATAAGGATGGATGGAGGAAATTGTTCATTTACTAGATGAAAAAAGGTTGGTTAGTTCATGCCTTACGCTATTTTCATGACATAAAATACGTGCCAATTATGCTATCATAGAATTTCTATACTTAGACGTGCGAGGATACAGTTTTCTGAAGTTACTTCTTGTTCTACCTGAGGAGATGCAAGGTGAAAGCTGAGGGTAAAGTGGATGCTCCAAGTCAGACAAAATCCGTTTAGCAAATTTATTGCACGAAGTCAAGTGCCTATCGACAACGACGTTAAATATGTGGTCCACTGGGACACCACTCACCCTACTAACCGTCTTCAGCATTCTACGAATTGTGAGTCTTTTTTAAGCCAATCAGAAAAGAATAAGGGTGAACAATAAAGAAGAATAGGTAGGATGCAAGAGTTTATGAACTGTAAGAGGAGGGGTTGAGTTATACCCGAGTGTCTTCTTATTGTAAATTGTTAGGCGGAATATTTTACTGGAGAATACTAAGACATGGGAAGACCAGGATAGATCAGAAGAGAGAATAAGTCGAAGATACTTGATTTCTGATTTATTTCCCATATCATTGTCTTCAATTTTACAACTGTCATGAGAATTGACGACTTCTTTTAGCTGTCTTTTACATCTTAAGCTGAAATTAACAGTTTGGCACTTAGAAGGATTCAGTTTAAGACTGTTAGACTCAGACCATTTACTGACTCCCGACAGAAAGGTATTTATTTTGGTACAATCTAGCTGGGAGTTAACAGCCATTGAAACTGTTAAATCATCAGCTTACTGATTTCAGAGTAATGAAGGTCTGCTTTACTTTTCGCATCCTTTCTGGCTTTCGAATCTTCATCCTACCTGCTGCCTGTAATTGAAACGATTTTGTCTAGATAATTGGAAGAGGTGATTTCCTTTAGATTTTCCCCCGTTGGTGGTGATTGGAGCTTGTTGTTGTTGTTGTTTTTATTGTTGATGGATGGATATCTTCAACACCTCTGCCTTCTCTACATTCAGTTAAAGTCCTGTCTTCACTGCCAGCCTCTTCTGCCAACTTGGTGATCTTCGCCTGGTGGACTGTATTATTATATACCTTAAAACTCTAATAAGTCTTCTCTCAGATAAAATTGTTATTCAAATGGAAATGTTTTCTGAATACTATCTCTTCATTACTAAATGTGAAACGCTTGTTAGTGTTGTCAGTTGGGGATAGGTGCTGCGTGATTGGTTTACCGTCTCAGTGGAATTTTAGGCCTGTAATCACAAACACTATCCTACTGAGAATGAGCTATATTAATATTCAAATCTCTCTGAAAAGGAGGGATATCATTTCCATTGTGGTTGTGCAGATGTGTGTACCTTACTGACTGACTGACGAGTACAAGTAGGCGCGAAACCTGGATCTAAAGTTTCCTGTTGATTGGCTGCAATCACTTAACACATCCCAACTTTAAAATCAGTAAGTGTCAGACTGAAACTCCACTCCACTTGCCACTAACTTTTTCGAAGCTGTTAGTCGACGATAGTTGTTACTCAGTTACCCTAGAGGAATTAAGTATGGGGGTGGGGTGGAGAACTAAACCATCCGGTCTACTGACTGGATTGCGAAAGAGTTCCTAAGTCAATGAGCCATGTCTTATCTACATCTTACTTACATATTATTATTATATCCTTTAATTCCTAGAGGAACATAGGGCTTCAGCCGCGCGTCTCCATTACGTTCGGTTCTCTGCTAGAGTTTTCACCTGGCTCCAAGTCTGCCCACACGCTTTCATCTCCTCTTCACATCACCTCCTCCAAGTCACCCTTGCATTGAAGACCAACTCGCCACTTCCCTTTCGGGTTCCATTCGAGCGATGGCCTGTCTAGTGATGTCACTTGATCGTTTGTTTTCTCATAGTATGACAAATCCAATCCACCTCCATTTCTTCCTGCTTATATGTTGCATAATGGGTTCCTCCTGTGTTCGTTCGCTCATTGCCAGAAATCCCTGTTGCTGAACTTTTCTGACCGGCCATCTCATCTTGAGTAGTGTTGGGCGAAGACAACTGTTAATAAAGGTCTGTAGTTTGTTTGAGATGCTCTTCATGACGCGCAGCGCAAGTCTCTGATCCATATAGTGTAGCACTGACTTCACATTGGAGTTGAAAATCCGGATTTAATTTTCATTTTCATACTGAGTGGTGCTGTTGACCTCCACACAGACTTGAGAGTAATGAAAGCTTGTTTTGCTTTCCCGATCCTCGTTGCTTTGATATCCTCATCAGTTCCGTTTGCCTGTAGTCGAAACTATGCTTCCCATGTAGGTTAGTGAAGGATGGTGTTTCTTTCAGGTTCCTCCCATTTATGCTGGCTGATTGTCGTCTCTTGTTGTTGCTGTTGTTGTTGGCCAAGAATCGTCATCACCTCTGTATTCTCTACGTTTACTTGGAGTCCTATCTTTGATGCTTCTTCTAGCAATCTGTTGCTTTTGACTTGCATATCTTCCAGTTTGTGGGAAATCAGACACAAAAATATGTCATCTGCGAAGTCCAGATCCTCCAAGTTTTTACATCTTAGTCTAATCTTATTAAAGAAGTTCTGGTCAATGTCTTCAAATCTTATTTTCATCGCTTTCATCAGGGGGATGGTGTTAAGTTTATGTTTTGTCGTTCATCATGTTTTGCTCTTCTCTTTCCTTCACAGATTGCTCAAGAACACGGTGTAACACCACTGGAACAAACCTCTGATTTTAAACAACGATGTGAGGAGGATGCCTATGAAATGCTTTCACGAATAAGGACTATGCGGGTGAGCAATTCAATTCATCGTATATCGTATATGTATATAGTAGCAGGAATAAGCCACATCCTTCTTTGCCACCGTTTAAAGTGGAAGATATGCGAAGACTGGTCATCTTTGATTATAGATGTTCGCCTTTTATTTCCTATGTTAGGTGGCAGTGTAATATTTCGTCAATGCTGGATGTTAAGCTTGGAGTGTTCGATAAACAGGGCATGTCATTCTATGAGGTTGTGAAGAGCTAGCTACATTGGTCAAGATGGCTACGACATGTGTGCTGTATATATACTGAGTCGTCTCTTTTATTCGTCGAGCAATGTGTTAGCTGTCCCATATTAGTTTGTTTATTAAATGTATCACACAGTGAAACAGTATTATATACTGTATATATATATACAGTATATAATACTGTTTCATTGTGTGATACATCTAATAAACAAACTAATATGGAATTACTTACTACCACAGTGCCCAAGTTTTACACATATATCAAAATGTGTTAGTTGACATAGGATTGAGTTGGAAATGAGTTAGAGGTGTGTGTGGGTAAAGCCAATACATGGCATCAATTCACGACTGTCGACCTTAGCCCTGTAGAGGAGGCAGCCATACTATCTAACCAAGGTCCTGGTGGTGGCATGACTGAAAATGGTTCTCACTGATACAAATACATATTCTGTTTTTGGCTATCTCTCATTTTTTTCCCATGTAATTACTCTACCTGCTGTACATTTCCCCCCTTATCTTTATATACTATACGGTGTGTGTGTGTGACTTCTTAAACTGGTGCACTTCTAAATGAAGTTCTGCGTCAAAACCTAACTGGTCAACAGTTGCTTCTAATAATCAGCTTCTGTCGTTATTGTATCGAATATAAAGTTAATATTTGCCAATTTATGGCTGTGAGACCTGGCCATTGAGAGTGGGAAGACATGAAAAGATTAGCTGTCTTCGATCATAGGTGCCTGCGTTCTATATCCCATGTGAACTGGTATACTAAGGTGAACAATATTGAGGTGAGGCATCAGTCGAGTGCTAGGTAGGTGGGAGGGGAAATCAATCGACGAGGTTGTGAAATGACATCGACTGAGATGGTTAGGACATGTGTTACGTATGTCTAGTCATCGCCTTCCTTGACTGACGGCCAATGTTAGCTGACGTAGGGCCAGACTGAAACAGAGCTAGTGGTGGTCAAACCAAAACATTGCTTCATCAGTCAATGAAATCCACAACAATTAGTTTGAGCCACTTATGAGGGTGTAGACTTCTTGGCTGGTTGAGGTCCTCGGGATGGTAAAACCAATGGAGGATGGAAACAATTGGTGATATGGCTCAAAGTGGTCGTTCTTAATGGCCGGGGCAGACACATCCACTCCTTGTGACTTATGATTTCCAGTGAAATTATATTGTTCTTCGTTATTATTATTCCTTTGTCTTACACCCCTGTTTCCTGTCTGTATTATGCATTTCTTCTACTTTTTTCTCTTGCTTTGTGTGCTACAAGGAGAGAGTGTGGCGACTTGAACTGGTGCACATCGATGGAAAGTTCTATGTCAAAAACAGACAGACAGACATTCGCCAATCAATCATGCCTTAAAATAGTCAGATTATGTAATACTGTTAATCTAGCTGGATTCAAATCCTGTTTAGTAATTAAATTTAGCAAAATTTTGTGATTGTTTAAACTCGTCAGGAAAAAATATATGTCGTCTCTGCAACAATGATATTGTTATTAGTATTATTATGGCATTTATGCATTCATCTGCTGTACGAAATGGGAACTTGTAAGTGTATGTGGATTGATAAATCCACTTGGAGAAGGATACTTATCTACTTTGGACTGTATTAGTTGGGCATTTCGTACAAAGCAGTTGAAAGGATACTGTCCCTACGTCAGGTAGGTAGGCTACTGAAATAGGGATGGTAATAGATTCCTCGCATTGATGACGATTGGTATGGGTTTGCAATTGTAGCACTCCAAAGTTGAAAAGAATGGAAGACAAAAATACCTATAAACGGTCTTCAAAAATGGTTACCCACAAAATTTCATCAAAAAGTCTTTAAAGGCGAATCACAATACACCAACAACAAGGAACCATCATCAAAGACCACAAAAAAATTCATCTCACCATCCTACATGAGAAATATCTCTGAAATAACAGCTAGAACACTTAAACCGTTTGATATAGATATATACCACACAAGCCAGCCAGTCAAATCGCTTAATTCGATATTATGCAGACCGAAAGATCCATCCAACAGAAAAAAAGGAGATAAAATTAATACCATTTACAAAATAAATTTCATGAACTGTGACAGGCATTACATCGGCCAAAGCGGGCGTCCCCTTCGAATCAGAATCCAGGAACACAAATCAGCCTTGAAAAGACACGATATGTATATTCTTTCATATCACTGCATGTAGACAATTATGGACATCAGTTTGATTGGGATATTGTCGAAATCTTAGACAGAGGAAACATCAAAAGTTCAGTCAGGGAATTCCTACAAGCCTGGTACTCAAATGAATATGCAATGAACAAACACGTTAATATAGACGAAATATACAAACTGATAAAAAGTTAATCAGGTGACCAGAAAGTCTTAAATATGAATCAATAGAAAATGGTCAATACATATTTGAAGATGGTTACCAGGAGACGCAATTATATCACTCATGAAAAAAATTTAAATCAGTTCACTTTAAGCTAAATATTGCGCCGAAGGGGGATGTTGTCCAGCAGGGGGACGACAAAAGCTCCGCAACTAAACCAACCAACTCAGGGAACACTGCTAATTGCAAATCATCTACCTGAGCTACAAATCTTCTCTATTATTTCAAGATTGGTATTGGTGCTTCTTGTTTTTCTTATTGTTGTTGGTTGGATGTCTTCAATGGTGTTCCTCTCTTCTAAACAGAAACCTAATAAATTCGCATAAATTTGTCATCCGCAATATGTAGTAATATGTGTCACCTTCCTCTATGGGCATTGTTAGCTGACATACGTAAATTTTGTTTTCATAAAGTCTCACAGTGTTTTGCAGTAATGTTTACTGATGACCACGTTTCGAGCACAATTTATTACTGCTTATAATCATATCAAGGCACTACTCACACAACTTCCTAACTTCATTTATATGGTTCCACTATTTTTCACTTGATTTTATTGGTAGTAGTATTTTCCATAATTCGGGTATGAGTGATGAATCATTCCTATTGCATGTGTTGGGTGTAGACTCGATGAACAAGGATTCAGTAATCAACTTCTCTCTCTCCACCTACCTAGATTACTTTTTAGAATTTTAACCCTCACCTTCTCATCAATGAAATCAAGTGAAAAATAATGGAACTATATAAATGAAGTTAGGAAACCATGTGATTACCTTAGTGTGATTATGAGCAATACACTCTACCACAGTGCACAAGTTTTACTCTTATAGCTGATATTGGATTGGATTGGCCATTGGATCGGGTCTCAGGGGCTTAATGTTCTACGAGCTCGCTAGCCTTGTAACCAGAAGGTCCTGGGTTCAAATCCCGGTTGGTGGGTGGGTTGGTACTCTTGAAGATTCCCAAACCAGGTTGACGAAACAGCTGTCTTCCAGTACTCCCTGGCAGGTTTTCCAATGGTTCTTCAATTAATCTCAGCTCATGATGAAATCCTGTAACCAGTCAATCCAATCCCTGCAAACCAACACTTGAAAACTACATTGTTTTCCCAGATTACCATTCCTATATGCCTTATACACCTTTGTTTGCTGTCTCTGCTGTGCATTTCTGTTTACTTTTTTCTGCTCTCGCTTTGTGTGTGTGTGTGTGCTAAGTAGAAGGTTGGGCGAATTGAACTGCTGCACAGTTCTGTGCCAAGTTCTATGTTGAATCCAGACAGACAGTTCTGTGCAAAGCTCTACGTTAAAACCAATCAGTCAGTCAGTCAGTATATATTCTTCCGTTTTGTCTTATTTATTTTTTATTGATTTATTTGTTTTTTTTACTGATTTCATCCTTTATTATATAGTCTCGAAAATTCCGTGATGTAAACTTAATTGATCTAGCTACAAAACTTATCGGTATGCTTGTACAAATTCGTACGCTAACTGAACATGAAGAGTCGACTAATGATTGTTCTAGCATACAACAATCTTTACGGGAACTTAAATCAAGTCTGCATTGCAGTAATATTCAGTAAGTTATGTTTAATAATAATAATAGTTATGATATATGAAGTCATCATAAGATTGTGATTATCCCAGGTTGTCCTAATGATGAAGGCTTATTCATCACACTAGGCTGTGGGTGTCCCATTTTTGTGTGTGTGACTGTTGGTGATACTGTAAAAACAGAAGACAAGGGCCAGGCAACAGATCGTTTATTAAGGAAATCAGCACGTATTTATATATATTTCATGTACATTATTATAGCTTTTTCAAGCAGACAAACACAGTCTTCTGATTGGTTGTTTCTTGCTCAAGGTTATTTTGTACTGCTCGTGAGTGGTTTCTCAGAAAGTTAAGCCATATATCTGCGAATCTTATTTGCCCACGTTAAGTCTGCTGTGATTGATTGTTGAATCAGTCTTGTTCATATTTTCTCACGGCCAATATTAGCGACATAGACATAGACGTAAATTAATGTCTACCAATTGGCTAGCACCCTGCTCTCATCAGAATACTACTTACTACCCAAGCCAAATTAGGTGGGTGGGTTGGGGTTGAGATTTTTTAACCTAGTGCAGTCAGTGCCTACCAAATGAAGGGAGGGAGGAGGAGTGGTCAAACTTATATAAAGCTACACATTTCCACACGAATATATTAGTGTTTGCATTATGCTTATTGTTGTACGACAAAACTGCTACATGCCAAGTAATCTACAGCAGGAAACTTACGGAATCCTTCGAAGTGAGGACGGGAGTAGGACAAGCTGACTGACTGCCTACTATTGCCAATGATTTTCCTGATTGCAGTAGATTGGATAATGCGACAAATAGCTGGCCGACTATAGAACTTCTCAACATCTGACTTCGCTTAATGCCACTCAAGATCAGATGGCCAGCTAGAGAAGATCAGCAACAGGGATCTCTGGCAATAAGCGAACAATCCGACCAGGAACCGATTATGTAACAAATAGACAGGGAGAAATGTCTGTTTTCGACATAGAACTTTGCACAAATGTGCGGAAGTTCAAGTCGCCACATTCCGTGTAGCGCGCGAAGCAAGAGAAGAAAGTACAAGAAAAGCATAATAGAGACAGTGAGCAGAGGTGTGAGACAAAGGAGTAATAAAGAAAAACAAAACAGTTTCATTGAAGATCATAAGTCACAGGGAGTGGATGCATCTGCGCCATTGAGAACGATTTTGAGCCATGTCACCAATTGTTTCCAACCATAGATTTTTACCGTCCCGAGGATCCCAGCCTGGAAGCCTACACCTTCCTACGTGGCTTAGACCAACTGTTGTGGATTTCATTGACTGGTTCGGCCAAGTTTTTGTTTGACCGCCTCTAGCTTTTTTCCCGCCTGACCCTATATCCGCTAACATTGCTCGTCGAGGGAGGCGACAGGGAGAAATGAAGATGGATTGGCCATAATCTGAGGAAACTAAACATCAAGTGACATCACTAGACAAGCCATCGCTCGAGTGGAACCCGAAAGGGAAGCGGCGAGTTGGTCGTCAGTGTGAGGGTGACTCCGAGGCGGAGATGAAAGCGTGTTGGCAGACTTGGAGCCAGATGAAAATGTTAGCAGAGAACCGAATGCAATGGAGGCGCGCGGCTGAATCCCTATGTTCCTCTAGAAATTAAAGGAAATAATATTAATAAGGTGAATGTCTTCAACTCCGATAAATATGCGGTTCATTGACTCGAAAGTATTACTTTTTATCACCTCTGTGGGGAGCAGTGTTGTCTATGGATGCATTACAGCTGATCATGGTTCCTATACAAAAAATTTTGTGAGTGTAGGTATTACTTCCTCCCCGGTTGCCCATACTGTTGTACGAGATGAGTGCCTCATGGATTACCTGAAACCACTGCAGGTTTGTTAGTGTTGCATGACTACAGAGCCAACCCATGGGACTACTCCTTGAGGCTATGAACGGTCACAAAGTAAGTTGGGATGCACAATTTTCGGGTTCGACCGTTTGCAATTCCTCTCTCTCTCTCTCGAAAGCGGAAACTGGCAGCCTAGCGGGTTTGTCATGCATCTGAGGGGAACGCTGTAGCGCCATCACACATCCATTTTCCTACAGTACGACTTCGTTAACAGACTCCCAACATATAACGTGAATAACCATCATGTTAAGGTAACAGCGCTATCGGTAGATATGTAAAATGAGTTGTAAGCTTGGTCAAAGTAATTCTCACAAATTTTTAATAGTCAACCTCTTCTAACCAACCCCACTTACTTATTAGTATTAAAAGTCAAAAAAGGTCAGTGTCCATTCCATCCATACCAAGTTTTAGCATTCATTACACAACGTCTATGGTATACATGCGTGTCGCCGCAATAAGTTCCTCACCCTCCCCCCTCGAACTCTAAGATAAAGACCCCCCCCCTTTTAGAAAAATTGTTTTCACTGTCATGTAAGTGGCATTTTTCTTTTGCGACTGTCAAGCTTCACTGACTATAGATGTAGCTAGAATATCCTCTTAGTTTCTTGTAAAATCACAGGGGTTGAATTGAATGAAGGCAGTAAGTACCTCAGAACACATTGTCTCTTTGACATCGATCGATGGGATATTCAGATTAACTCATCGTACACGAGGTAGTTGCTGATGTAATTTACACTAGATAACGTTTTGGAATTAGACACTGGCTGATAAGTCCAAATCTCAGTGGGTGAATCATCATTCAGGGAGTAGAATCCAAGCACACATTCAGATGATGAATCCAAAGATAGGACGTAATGCACGTCTTTGATGATGATCGATCAGAATATCCTTTTCTTAACTATAATTGATTAGGAAGATAAACTACATCGGTGTGTAGTCCCAGTTACTGGTAACCACTAGTATTCTAATGGTTTCAGCCTTTTTTCCTTTCACGTTCCCCAGTGGAACATAGGGCTTCAAGCTAGTGACTTGAAGTTTCTGTAGCAGTGTTTGTTTTACAGGATGGGGTTGCTGCTGGCTTCACCCCCAACCTTTCCTCTTTATCATCAGCATTATTTCTTGCTTAGCGAGGTAAATGAGTGCGTCTGTGGCCGGGGATCGAACCCCGGACCATATGCATGGTTGGAAAGTGTCCTAACCGCCATGCCATCGACGCAATGTTTCAGCCTTTACTGACATTCAGTTCTTTCCTAAGTTATCTGATGAGCAGTAGGCTTTTGTTGAGGCCTGTTTTATTTCTTTATGCTCCCAGTGGAATATAGGACTTCCAGATAGATCTTTCAAGTTTCAGCACCAGTCAGTGGTGATTATTTTTACAGGGTTGAGTTGCTAGTCTCACGCTCAACCTCCCCTCCTTACCGGCCTAGCGAGGTCTAGGATTGCGCCGGCCTGGGATGGAACCTCCAGGACTTTAACGTGGTTGGCGGATGTTGTACTGCTGAACCACCGACGCGGTTTTGACAGGTTATCTATTAATTTTTTTACCGCTGACAACTGTTGACTGCTGTGTTTTTAAGCCTGGTTAAACTTCATTGTCACTTAATGTGGTCAACCCTTTTGTTTGTCAAAAACAACCAAGTTTTTGAAGTGATGATTCGCGTCTTACAGGTGACACTCTTTCATTCTCCGATAGTTCTTTAAGTGTGGTTTGTCAGCTAGCTAGCTAGCTGCCTTTCAGCTTTTCTGATAGGATTTGGTTTTATAAGAAATTATACCTCAACAGCGAAAAAGAAAATGTTTTTCCGACGATTCATTTTTTAAAAGCTGTACAATCGTAATTATGTTTCGTAAGAGAATTCAGGTACTGGCAAAATTTTTACTTGAAGACGCATTACGCAATGTAAGGTGTGTGTGTAGCCCAGAAGGGAAGATTAATTGGAAATTAGAAAAGGGGTCAGAAGTGGGCGTGACCTAACAAGTATGAGAGAATGACTAGTGAGGATAATTGTGTAGAATGGACAGGAACTAGTGGAAAGATGATAGTGTTTTTATCTAAAACCTGTACGAAAACGCAATGTTATTAATAAACAATAATAGAGTGATAATAAACTATGGATGATGGGAATAATAATGATAATAAAATAATAACAATAGACTTAGATGATAAAAAGAAGCGAAATAATAATGATGTTACTGTGGTCATGGTAGGGCGAATGAATGTATGCAGTGGTTTTGAATGCAGAGGTTCGATTTTAGATCCTGAATAGCCAATGATTCAGCTATGTACAGATGTGTGGTATTTCAAGTCCCTTTGTGTGATATTGTGGGACTCTGTGTAGCATTCATGCAAGTGGGGGTGTTCGATTTCCAGAGTTGATAAGGTGTTCGACGATGTAGCTGCTACTATTCTTCTTTTCTCTTCTGGCTAACCAGGCTGTACAATGTTCCAGAATACGTTTGTGGAGTTGACGTTGTGTTGTCTATAGGCGTATGCATTTTGTCAACGTAATCGCATAATTAGGGAACAAATAGGTTATGGTGGGTTATCAGCTAGATTACGCTAAGACATAGATCCATTTTTAAAGACTTTTTATATCATTCTTCTGCGTTCCGAGTGGCAAATAGGACTTCGTGCTCTTGAACTCTAAAGTTTCAGCATTCGTGGTGTTATGAATTTTAAGCCATGGGTTTTGTGTAACCTCACATTCCTATCCGCCGCCGCCACCAGCCAACCTTCCGTTCTATCCGGGGTTGCTATCGACTAGTAAACTGTACGAGGTTTCATCATCTGTGCAATCGGCGAGCAGTCTACCCCTGAAGTACACAATTTAAAAACCATTACTTTAAGTTGGCACTTTTTTAAATATATAAGTGGTATAATTATCTACCTCATTGTGCGATAGATAGTATTCCCACCGGTACTTGAACCCTACGCTCATCGTTTCAAATGCCTAAAGCGTTATCCACTCTGCTTAAGAAGCCAGTCATTATTTGCTTGTAGGAGGAGTACCATGGCTCACTGAGTACAGGATTCAAGTCTTATCTAGCTGAAGAGTCTCTCAAATAGGACGAAATGCTTATGGCCTGGTTCATTCGCCACTTTTTTGTTGTTGTTGTCATTTATGAATTTTGTAATTGTTGTTTCATTTTCTTTTCAGAGTATTTGAAGACAGAGTAGAAGTTGCTATTCGTTATGTAATGGGCGGTATGTGTTCATTGAGTAACTTGAATTCATTTCTCTACAAACATCCCCGTCATTTACAATACTTGTAAATGAGAATACTATTACTACTAATAGTAATATATTTTGCTCTTTTGTACTATTAATCATAATACTCATGATAAATGATAATACTGCTGATCACAGGATATAATATATGATGTATACGATGAAAAAAAATTGATGGATGTGATGAATAATGTTTACACTATTATTATTGACCTTGTATAGTTGTGTTTGCGTGTAACTATGCCTTTTTTTCCAACCCCTTGGTGTTGTTATGCAATGCATTCTATTGTATTGTATATGGGTGAAGTAACTTGTTGTTCTTTTCTTTCTTCATTTTGGTCAACTTGTAATTGTTGTGCTTTTCTCGCTGTATCTCTCTCTCGCCGTCTTTTTTCTTCTGCCTTTGTTCCTGCGCGCCTCATCGTACTGATCCCTCTGTCTCTCTCTGTGTGTCATGGGAGACAGGCGATTTATGCATATTTGATCTGATTTAATCACTATTATTATTATTACTGTACACAAAAGTATCTGACAATGCACACCCGTATCTTCAGTAATTATTTAATTAATTAATTAATCAGTCAGTTGGTCATGTGTAATTAAGATTTACAATTAATTATCATCTATTTTGAATAATGGGATGGAAGTATCTTCCTTCCTTTCTTTCTTTCTGTGATATAAGATTTGGATTTCTCTTATTTCCCTAGACGAGTTAAGCTTATTTTATTATTACCACTAACTGAAATGCATTCTGAAAGAGAAGTATTTCTTGACTAGATGTGACTAGATGACTTTATACACATTGAAGCTGTCCATTAAACCCTGGTGTTTGGTAGTTTCTGTAGTTGACTATCGACCAAAGGGCGGGTGTACTGCTCATCAGTCCGCTCCGTCCTCCTTTATGGTTGTGAGACCTGGCCACTGAGAGTGGAAGACATGAAAAGACTAGCTGTCTTTGATCATAGGTGCCTGCACTCTATTTCCCGTGTAAAGTGGCATAATAAGGTGAGCAACATTGAAGTTAGGCGTAGAGTTCTAGGTAAACAGATGAAATCAATCGACGAAGTTGTGAAGTTACAAAGACTGAGATGGTTAGGACATGTGTTACGTATGCCAAGTCATCGCCTCCCTTGACGAGCAATGTTAGCGGATATAGGGTCAGGCTGGAAAAAGGCTAGCGGTGGTCAAAAAAAAAAACTTGGCCGAACCAGTCAATGAAATCCACAACAGTTGGTCTAAGCCACGTAGATAGGTGTAGACTTCCAGGCTGGGGTCCTCGGGACGATAAAAATCTATGGTTGGAAACAATTGGTGACATGGCTCAAAATCGTTCTCAATGGCTGGCGCAGATGCATCCACTCCTTGTGACTTATGATCTCCAATGAAACTGTTTTGTTCTTCGTTATTACTCCTCCTTTGTCTCACACCTCTGCTCACTGTTTCTATTATGTTTTTCTTGTACTTTCTCCTCTTGCTTCGCGTGCTACACGGAATGTGGCGACTTGAACTTCCGCACATTTGTGCAAAGTTCTATGTCGAAAACAGACAGACAGTTTCTGTAGTTCCCTAATTATAGGAATATCAATCCTCAATCTAAATCGATTATTATCATGGGATTATTACTGATTAACACACAAGTTTGGTACATTACGAGGACTACGGTGGTGGTACTCCGCGGACAAGCAGACCGAAACAGGTGGGTGTCATAATAGGCTATCCCTTGGGCTTCTAACTTGATGTCTGATCCATCCACAAGGCAATAAGGCAAGTGTCAGGAGTTGTGCGTTCTCATGGCTTCCGGTGACTGAAGAAACAGCTTTATGTGCCACTACTGCATTCTTTTCGATTCTGAAGGTCATGTACACCCACCACCACAGGCGGTTCAGAATCAGGGTTTCTCAGTTCTCCAAAGGTTAATAGATTTACATACCCACCAGTCCGGTTGTATGTACCAGATACACTCGCGTTCTGTAAGTGATATTATATTTTGTCATTTGTCCTAAAATTAGTCAAATCCCTATGAAACTAACATTTTAAAATTAATCTAATGCTCACTAGTTAGTGATTGAAGGATGGAGTCTTAGTGAAGAGTCGTGACCGATGACATTGTGTGTGGGAGGTGGATTTATGTTTTGCGTGAATTAGCAAAAGTTGGAATTCGTAGAATTCTGTCCTATTGAATAAACAGTTCACTGGATCGCCTCGTGACAGCGAAACCGCTGGATTCAATTCCCAGCAGAGGCATGTACGGTACTGGTGAAGTCTCAGACTTGTATGAAACGCCTATCTGGGACTTCCTGATGGTTTTCGGTGGTTCTCTAATCTTAATTTGTTATAATAATAACATCTTTATTCTGGACAGTATTTATAAAATGTACGTACAAAATTTACAGAGGAGTTAATTGCACGATATCTTCCCTTTGTACACACTGTCTTTAGATAAAATATTAATTGACAGTATATCCTGTGAGACACAATCTCTAGATGAAAGTCAATTGTAAAACTTTTAGAAGTACAGTTTAAGACCCAAGGGCTTAACTGAAGATCAGTAATCTCATGTATTGATTGGAACACGTCACCAAGGGCGGGTGTACTGCTCATTAGTCCGCTCCATCCACCTTTATGCCTGGCTGTGAGACCTGGCCATTGATAGTGGAAGGTATGAAAAGCCTGGCTAGCTGTCTTTAATCATAGATATCTGCGTTCTATCTCCCTCCGTGTGAAGTGGCATAATAAGGTGAACAATATTGAGGTTAGGCATCGGTCGAGTTCTAGGTAAGGAGGGGAAATCAATCAACGAGGTTGTAAAGTTACATATGGTGAGGTGGTTAGGACATGTGTTACGTATGCTTAGTCATCGCCTTCCTCGACAATGGACAATGTTAGCTGACATATAATGGATCAGGTTGTAAAAGAGCCAGTGGTGGTCAAACCAAAATATGGTTTCATCAGTCAATGAAATCTACAACACCTTCCTACGCAACTGGTTTAAATTAACTGTTGTGGATTTATTCATTGACTGATGAAGCCACGTTTTGGTTTGACCGCCGCTAGCTCTTTTCCAGCCTGACCCTATGTTAGCTAACATTTCCCATTGTCGAGGAAAGGGATGACTAAGGGTACGTAACACACCTCCTAACCATCTCAGTCGATGTCATTTCACAGCCTCGTCGATTGATTTCTCCCATCTAGCTAGCACTTTACCGATGCGTAACCTCAATATTGTTCACCTTATTATACCACTTCACACGGAGGGAGATAGAACGCAGGCATCTATGATCAAAGACAGTTAACCGGGCTTTTCATGTCTCCCACTCAATGGCTAGGTTTCACAGCCATAAAGGAGGACAGAGCGGACTGATGAGCAGTACATCCGCCCTATGGTCGATAGCCAGCCAGCAGGATATCACGTCTACGCCAGAGATAGGATATACGATACTAGCCCTCTGTATCCGTGCTGAGATTTCGTCAGAGATCAACCCGTTGGCTGATGGTACTTCCCAAATAAATGAAGCGGTCATCGTGCTCTGCTTACCACTTCACTCCCTATTTCTAATCTAGGAGTCAGTGTAGTCCAGTTCTCTAACATCATCTTGCATTTGGCGGGAGCTAATCGCATGCGAAACATTCGTAGATTGCAGCTCAAGGTGTTCAGAAGACTACATCTTGTCAGCGTCCTCGCCTAGAGAGACTTATATCGTCTGCATATTCTAAGTCAATGAGATTATTCCCTGATGGTAGCAAGTCAATCCCTGAGTCGCTGAATTGAGTTAAGGTTAAATCCATTAGTACAATATCTAAGATTAAACTGAGTAGAAATGGGGATAATGGGCATCCCTGACGGCCACCACTAGTCGTCACCAGTTCAGATGGCAACTCGCCGTAAGCCCTCACCTGGCTGGCTGCATGAGTTCGAGTAGAGTGAGTGGCTTGATCAGTGCAAGGTATTTTCTCGCCATTCCCTCTACAAGCAAGCACCGCCAGAGAACCTCTCGGTCGATAGAATCGAATGATGCCTCCAGGTCAAGAAATATAACGATTGTTGAACGTCAGTAAGAATGTCTATGTTCTAGATTCTGTCGAAGGGTGAAGATATCAATACACCCTCTTCCTTGTCTAAAGCCTGGTTCTCTCGTGTTTGTGCCTCCCGAGAACCACTTAGTCTACGCAATATTATCGACCCTAGCACTTTAGATATTATATTAGTCCAGCTAATCTCTCTGTGATTATCACAGGAATTTGGGATTAAGTATGACTGTTTTTCTTGGCCTGATAATTATATGTGTTGACCCTTTCCACTACGCCTTGATGGTTCCCAAGGTTCCTCTAACTAATGTCATCTGGTGATTTAACTTGAAAACAATCAAAATCTCTGTAAATAAACGTCGATCTAATACACACTATGTGTTAGAATACTGACTAGTAGTGAGGTGAAATCTCCACGGTTTTCGCTAGGATATTGCACATTGCAGAAGATGTAAGAGGTATAAATCCATTTAATTCTAATTTATCATACTGCGAGAAAACTTTGACTACTGTTCAAGTAAATTACAGTGAACACTCGTGTGTTCTATCTCCCCCGTTGAGTGAATCCGTAAGAATAAGTATGGATTGTGCTTACTCGCCGATACCTTTTAGCGATTTCCGCATACACACTTCAACTGACTAAAGTTCAAATGAGTTTTATCAAAATTCGTTAGACATGGGTGTCTTTGTGGTAGACAATCTCAATACCGAAGTAGGAAAGGTGAGTCATTTTGAAAAGTATGTGTTCCTAGCATCTTCGACACTTACAGTTCTGTTCAGATAATCATGTCTTCCTGATCAGCACTGATTTCAAACTTAAACGGAGACAATGCAACATTTGACAACCTCCGACATCTAGTCGAGGATCACATAGCTCTAATTTATAGATGGAGAGGGTCACTGAATTGTCTCTACTATTTCTGGATTTATGATGAGATACTACTGTATCGACAGAAGGCAAGAAAACCAGGCAACACATCGTTTATTGAGAAAATCAAGAGATATTTATAGATTTTTATGTACGTTATTACTCGTTATTGTTAGCAGACTGGTAACATCTTCTGATTGGTTGTTTTCCTGCTGAAGGTTATTCTGTCATCTCTTTTTGCTGACGTTTCTTAGGTAGTCCGTTGATATTTCTGCTAATCATATCCGCCCGCGCTAAGTCTGCTGTTATTGGCTGTTGAGTTAGTCTTTGTTCTTGTTTTCTTCCTTATGACCAAGATTTGGGACGTAAATATTGACGTCAATTTTTGGCTAGCAGACAGCCCTCACCACAGTCCTATCATCTATCAGTGGCGTGAGTGCATGCAGGACTAGCGCTCCTTCAAGAACATACCTGTATTCCAACCAATGCTTTAGCGTGTACCAGACTTATTCGGTGATGACCATAAGTGCCATCCTAAAAAGGTTGACGCAAGTAAACTGGTTGCACATGCTGTCAAGTATCAAACTGAGTTTGATTCAAGGTTATCAACTAACACCTTTACAGGGGGTTCAGACGAAAACTAATTGTACCTACAAGACCTTATGCCTTAGTGAGTGAAGTTACTTGTGGATTAGAAGAATGTCTCACTGGGAGTTTCTTGCAACTGTTCTGGAGGATATAGCGATTATGATACTTCATAACCTATGTTGAGCTTCTACGCATGAAATCAAATAGTGCTTACGTATGGATAGTGAAATCTTGTAGTCAGAACATGCGTGTTAGGTGGAATTAGCAGTACACACGAGTGTATAGGCAGTTCTGCTGATAACGTTGTCCAGAAATGAATTTTCTTCGCTGCTACACTATCTTTCTTGATATTTCTTGTGGTCTAATGTGTATATTCTGAAATCTCTAACTACCATTTTGGTAGTATGTAAATATGACTGATCTAATAATAATAATAATTATTATTATTATTATAATTTGCTTTATTTCAACACAATTATTGTGATGCAGAATGGAATTCTCAGCATTTCACTGCATACAGTATTGCATCCAGTTTGTATATTAACAATAAATAAAATTCCATATAGATTATGGGTAGTCTCAGTTAGTTTTTACAACTACCTATTAGCATATCGGTAGCACAGCCCAAAGTGAAAAGAATGTTCAAGTATTGGATTTTGTAGGGAT